TTTAAAGTTTCTGAAAGTTATCCTAAAGGAATACAGCTGTATTGTAGTAAGGAGATGATACCATATGCTAACTCATTTCCACAAAAATAAATGAAGATATCAAAAATGGTAAACAAGAGGGTTAATATACATATTTTTTAAATCTCATATTTGTGTTCTCTTTTCTTTCAAAGATTTTTTAAGACATAATATTATATATAAGTATAAAAATTTAAAACAAATTACTGTTGGATTTGTAACATATATAGATGTAATATTTATAATTATAATAGCACAAAGAGTAGAAGAGGGAAGAGAGTTTTTAGGAGTAAAATTTCTCTATCTCACTGGAATAAAGTGAATATAAATCTGAAGCCAATTTTGATGAAGATAGGCATATTTTAAGCCCTAGACAAAAATTCTAATGAAGACATTGATGCCAAAAGTTTAATACCCCAATTTAAAGTCTGACAATATCAAAACAGATAGGAAAAAGCAAAATCCACTGTATAGTTCGTATGAAAGACACATGTTATGTTCAATGATAATAACTGGTTGAAAGTGAATAGAAATCAACAATGATAAGGACTAACTATTCTAATATAACCCAGAAGATAGATTTTTAAAAAAACAAACAAGTTGATAAGTAAAAAAGAAGTCTTTTATAATGATTAAAGTATCAATTAATGAAGAAGAAACAATTGTAAAAAATATACAAACATAACAGAAGATCCTCCAAATAAATTAAGCAAAAACATAACAGAATTGAAGTGAGAAGTAGCCACCTGAACAATGATACTTGAAGACTTCAATGTTCCACTTTCAATTAGTCATCTTTGAAACACTCAAACCACTACCACCAAAGTACTCATCCATTTCAAGTACACATAAAATATGCTCCAGTATAGATCATGTTAGGCAATAAAACAAAACACAACAAATTTAAAAGGACTAGAATCACAGAAAGTATGTTATCTAACCAAAATGGAACAAAATTAGTAATCAAGAACAGCAGGAAATTGGAGAAATTCACAACAGTTAAAAATTTACAAAGACCCTCTTAACTAGCCAATGGGTCAAAGAAGAAATAATGAAGAAAACTGGAAAATATAATTATGTTAATATAAATGAAAATTAAAACACAACATACCAAAACGTATGGGATACAGTTAAAGCAGTATCTTAGAGTAAATTTTTTTGCCAAAGTTAATATGAAGGAAAAAGTCTTGCAAGCATCCAGGTGTAAGATTAGTGTTACCTACAAAGAAAAAAAAAATATTAGATTGACTTCAGATCTTTCAGCTAAAAATTTACAAGCCAGAAGAGGATGGTCATTGACCTTTAATCTTCTTTTTTTTATTAAGGCATAACTGTGTAATTATGAATTTATGGGGTACAATGTGCTGATTTGATATACAATGTGGAAAGCTTACATCAAACTTGTTAACATAACCATCATCTCACTTATTTATTGTGGTAAGACATTTCTACTTTACTCTTAATAGTTTTGAAATGTACGATTGCACTGCACTTTTAATTTTCTAAAACAAAACAACTTTCAGCCCAGGATCCTGTGTCCAGCTAAACTGAGTTTCATTTGTTATGGAAAAATCAACACTTTTCTGAAATCCATATGTTAAGGAAATTTTCCTTTACTAGACCAGCTCTCCAGGAAATACTCAGACCCATTTCTCATAATGTCCAACATAATGGCCTATTCCCAAACTAAACTCACCAAGAATTTAAACAACAAAAGCTAGATTCCACAATGATGAAAGCATTACAAATATGCACTGGACCTTTGAAAACAAGACAACTGAAACACTATCGTACCTATCACTTTGCTCAATTAATGTGAATGGTTTAAATTCTCCTCTAAAGAGGCTTAGAATACAAAATCTCAGGCCTGGTATCTACTGCCTACCAGAGACTCATCTTCAAAGAATAAAGCAAGGTTCAGGGTGAAGGGATGGTCATCTATAACATAGACAAATGGAAATCAGAAAAAAATACATAGGAGTTGCAATTTTATTTGCTGATACAATTGGATTTAAACCAGCAAAAATAGGAAAGATAAGGATGGACACTACATATTTCTCAAGGGAAACACTCAATATAAAGAGATTTCAATAATGAACATTTATGCACCCTACTTGAATGCTCCTCAATTTATAAAACAAACCCTAATGGATCTCAACAATATAATTTCCTGCACTATAATAGTTGGAGATTTTAGGACTCCTTTGGATGTTCAGGATACATCCTTGAAGAAGAAACTAAACAAAGAAATTAAATAGACTGGGCAGCACCTATGGTTCAAAAGGGTGGGGTGCTGGCTCCATGTGCCGGAGGTGACAGGTTCAAACCCAGCCCCGGCCAAAAAAAAAAAAAGAAATAATGGACTTAAACATGATCCTAGAACAAATGTACTTAACAGAAAATTACAGAACATTTGATCCTAATAAAACTAAATGCATAGTCTTCTCATCAGCCCACAGATCATCCTCAAAAATTGATTATGTTGTAGGACACATGTCTGACCTCAACAAATTCAAAAGAATAGAAATTCCTTGTATCTTCTCAGACCATCATGGAATAAATATTGATCTTAACAGCAACAGAAACCTTCATACTCAAACAAAGTCATGGAAACTAACTTTAGGCTGAATGATAGTTCATCAAAGATGAGACTAAGAAGGAAATAATCTGATTCTTGGAACAAAATGATAATAAAAACACCTATCAAAACCTGTGAGATACTGCAAAGGCAGTCCTAAGAGCAAAATTTATAGCATTAGAAGCTTTCATCAAGAAAAAGATAGAGAGGAAGTCAATGACTACTGGGTCATCTCAAACAACTGAAAAAGGAAGAACAATCCAACCCTAAACCTAGCAGAAGAAAATAAATAACCAAAATTAGAGTAGAACTAGATGAAATTGAAAACAAAAGGATAATTGAGAAGATCAACAAAACAAAAAGTTGCTTCTTTGAAAAGATTAATAAAATTGATGAACCTTTGACTGGACCAACCAGAAACAAAGAAGTAAAATCTGTAATTAACTTCAAGCAATAATGATGACAATATGTGATAATATAACAACAGATACCACAGAAATTCAAAAAACTTCAATGATTACTACAAAAATCTCTATTCCCAGAAACATGAAAATCTGGAAGATATGGGCCAATACTTGGAAGCACACCACCTTCCTAGACTGATCCAGAAAGAATTAGAAATTTGAATAGACCCATAGCAAGCACTTAAATAGCAACAACTGTACAAAACCTTTTAAAAAAGTAAAGTCCAGAACCAGATGATTTAACATCAGAATTCTACTAAACCTTCAAAGAGCAACTAGTACCTATGATACATAAACTTTTCCAAAGCATAGAAAAAGAAGGAATCTTCCCCAACATATTTCCTGAAGCAAATATCACCTTGATCCCCAAACCAGGAAAGGACTCAACAAAGAAAGAAAAATATATTTCCTAGGCAAATATTGCAAAAGTTCTTTATAAAACTGACCTTAATATTCAGAATTTCACTTGCTTCTCTTGTATCTACCTCATATATTATTTCTCAGTTGACAAAATGAAAATTTCAATTGAGGAAGACCTAAATCCAATCTTTTACTTAAAGTGTACATATATGTTAATTTTAATATGTTGTCTAATAGATATAAGATAAAAAATGCATCTTTTTTGAAGAATGGCTGCTTTTGACAGTGTTTGATATTCAATAAAAGTAAAAATGAACACACGGAATTTCCTAATTATCGTCCATAGCATTTAATAAAGCTCATGAGGCAATATTGGCGAAAAATATTTTTAAAGTATTTCTTACCATTTGTTACAAAGCAGCCTATTTTCTCTAGTTGTCTATAGCATGTGTTTGTAAAGAAAATGATAGAATAGTTTGCCTCCAGTCTGTACTGCTAAATTTAGAGTTCTAAAAAGAGAACTTAGGGGAAAAAATTGAATTACATTCAAATTGTTTCTTCCTGTTATTTTCTGTTTCTTCCTTCCTACACTCTAAAAAGAAATAATTACTCACCTAACATTACTATTATATTATTTAGAAACTCCAGGGACACATAAATCATGTTTCTAAAAGTATTAAGTTTATTTTAAAGCATCACATCAAGTTTGAATCTCAGTAAAGAAAGCCATGTCTTCATTTTAAGTTGATTTTGACAAAGAGTACAGACTTACATACAACAGGTGCAATAAAGTAAAGTAAAAGGTGTTTACTTTTAGTAATAAAATAGCATGTGTGTGTATCTTCTGTGTAAGTGATTTAGGACATGTTTCTTGTCTTTTTAGAAGTGTTTAGAACTATTATTTCAAAAGTTGTCCCTTTTATTTGTTACTTGTGTGTTTGCTGGAATAGAGGCATCAAAATATTCTGTTTTGATTAATGTACTCATACAATATATGCCTAAACTGAAATCAAGTGATCAGATATCTTAGAAATAATGACATTCATGATCACAAGCTGTTTTACAGGGGGAAAAATAACTAAGATTTATTCAAAGAAAACCCAAGGAAAACAATCTTGGGCAAAGATTGCCAACCTGTTTTATAATAAACAAAAGGTTTGAGCTCATTGAAGAACATGCCATTTTTAACCTACTTATCCATTTCCACAATATACATATGTGTATTTTACTAGGGGAAGAGCTCAGAAATATAATTCTATCTTAGCTGTGCAGTTAAATAAGGAAATTTTCAATGGATTCATGTGTTTTTGTGGTGGGGGTAGGCAGTCATCTATTCTGATTACTGAAATATGCAGTTAAAGGCTAATTTAAAAGCCTGGAAAATCTGTGTTTCAGAAAACCTCATCTACAAAAGAATGGGAATGTTATATTTACTATAGGAAATTAGTGTTTAACATATTATAAACAATTACCTGCAAGTAGTTTTAATCACAATAACATGACATCAAAAAAGGTACATATTCTTGTGCATTAAAATTAATTAGGCTATTTTGGTATAAGAGATAGATTATTTCCCTCTATCTCTATCTCCACCTCTATCTCTTTTTAAAACTCCTCAATACTGAGCTGCAGATACTAATACAGAAAAAAAGGTGAAGGGCAATTCCTTTGTAAAATGGCTAATGTACATAAAATGCTCTAGCAGATAACACTATTGTATTATATCTACTAAAATTTTACGTTCATTTCCCATTCTCATCATCATAATGCTCACTATATATATATTTTTTTTTTCATTTGGGTTCTTTGCATATGAAAACACCAACTAATCTATTATTTCAACATTAAGCCTATCCCTTTGGAAGCCAAGATAATTCTGATACTTTTAGAAAAGCAATGGGCACTAGTTTTCAGGATGCTTAAGGCGGAATGTTTAAAGCTCATGCTTGCTTCTTTGCTTGGGCCTCTGCTTCCTAAAATGAAAGAAAAAAAAAAACAGTTAAGATTATATAACACAGAGGAGATGCACATATACATTTTGGTTAGACTTTATTAGCTCACACTACTAAGAATATTCAATAGTTCCCAGAAAAGATTACTTTAAAAGTTCTTAATAGAAAAACCATAGAATAGAAACTGCTATCTTAAAACAGATATAGTAAAAGACTGCCTAATAATTACTGATAATTTGAAATAGTTCCATAAATGCAAGTGATTTACAGTTATAATTGACATTTCATGTAAAATAGTAAGCTGTTTCTTTTTGTGTGATTTTTTACAAAAACTGAGTGCTCAGAAACATTGTTACCTAAAGTTTACAGTTAATTGAGTATGGTTAATTAAGGTTTAAAAAATGTACTATTTGTTAAAATATCACTGTTTTATGTTTTATAACAGTACACATGGTAAGAAATCAGGAAGTGTTTCTTCTCTTATGAACAACAAGATACTCACTTCTAGCATAGAAACTCTTACCTATATGGGTGCTCTGGTGTCCAACAATACGTGAAATTAAATAAACATAAAGGAAAGTTTGTTGAAATGAAGATGAGTGACAAGTGTGCTTTTGATGAAAGACACATCAGATTAAGCAATGGCAAACCAACTTGGGTATCCAGGACATATGGAAGCAAACATCCCTGACCTCCTCATTGGCATGCAACTGCAGATATCAAGGGATGCTAGATAATATGATTCTAAACACCTTTCACTAATCAAATACTTGACAGTCTCAGGAGAACCCAAGAACAACTGAATATTCCAAAATTAGTCTCTGATACTGTGTCCAAAAGAAGGGGAAAATAAAAAAGAGAAGATTTTACCCCAAAAAGGCAAAAATGAAGGAAACAAATAATAAAGGAGCCTGTAATTCATTCTTAAAACATCCTTAAAAATCAGATGAAATATACTACTAACTCACCTTCTAAAATACCTAGTTAAAAAACAAAAAAAAAAAAGTCTTGAAGCTTCTTTTAAGCTTCTAACTTACTGTTTGGCTATAAAAAGGAACATATGGTGGACCTACATTATGCATCGTGTTTCTTTTTATAGAAAAAGCTTTGATTAAATTCTACACATAATATGACAAATGTTATGCTAAGAATCCTGAAAAGCCTTGCATATACAGTTTGTTGAAGTAGTAGTATAATAATATGCCATAAGGTGAAGTGCTTCTTTCTACCAGCACCTAAGTTACACCCTATAAATTTGTTTTCTTAATTTGTCAAAAACTCCATTGCTCTCAGGCATACTTACTAATGAAGGTTATTACTAACACAAACATCCAAAACAAAATTCAATTCAAAAATTATTTTTGTCTTTAGAATGAATATTTACAGTACTTTTCTGATTATGTTTTATTTATTTATTAATTTATTTATTTATAAAATACATAAATTGAACTGAAAGCCTTACTAGTACCTAAAAGCATGTTGCTGATACTTATAGAATTGTGAGTCATCCAATGAACCCAAAAAACTTAGAAGCAAGCATATGAGGTGCTCCCCAGACTCCTATAAAAATATCATCCAGGGGTGGTGTCTGTGGCTCAAGGAGTAGGGCGCAGGCCCCATATATACTGGAGGTGGTGGGTTCAAGCCCAGCCCTGGCCAAAAAAACTGCCAAAAAAACTATCATCCAATAAATGCACTGGTTTTGACTCAAATAATCTTGGGTTAAAACTCCAAGTCTGTTACTTACTTATTACATATTTTTGAACAAATTACTTAAATTATCTGAGTATCAGTTTCCTCCTCTATAAAATGGCTCTAAGGACATCTAGCTCACAGGGATGATGTAAGGATAAAATGAGATGTACCTGATATGTGAAGCTCATTGCTTGGCCTATTGCAGGCATACATCCCTCTTTCCTGCTTTTCCTCTCCCTTTTTTTGCCTAGTAACTGAAACCAAGACCATAGCTAGGTGTTACTAACAAGAAGTTTCTCTTGGAGATGCAATAAGAACAGGATGAATTCAGTGGAAACAGGATTATATGAAATCTCATGGCTGAGGCAGACTCCATAGCCCCTCCCTAGATTAGGGTGATTCAACCAAAGCTGAAGAGAACATTCCTCTAAACAGCACCCTCTACTCCCTCAACACATTAGTGAACATGCCTTTTTGAAGAAAGTAATTTTCCTCTGCACAAACATCACTAGATTTTTATTCTTATAAAGATATCAGTTATCTTATTTTGTATCTCAAAAACTATCAACTCCATCTCTAAGATAAAAATGTCTGTGTTATGAAATGTTTATTATATTGAAAAAATAGAGTAATAGTAAATATTTATATTTCTTGTTCTACACACATTAAATATATAAAGCAATATTAAAAAGTTGTCTTCCACAGAAGACTTCTTTCATTTATGGAAATATTTACCATAAAGTGCTTTTAAACATTAAGATCTCAAGTGCATGAATTTTAATAACTTTTATTATTATTATTGTTATTATTTACAAAAAGTAAGTTTATTTCAGGTTAATGTGAGGGTACAAATAACTGGGTCAAAATATTTCATATTGTTAGGTAGAGTCCCTCCTGTGGTTATGTTCCACACATAAAAGTTGTGTGAAGAAACCCCACCTTATACCCATTCAATGAGAGCACCCCAAACCCCTCCTACTCCCTCATTATCCCTACTCCCCAACTTGAATTGAAATGAGTTTTTCTACTATGTGGGCATCAATCAGATCATCTACTGGCTTCATATTAGTATTGAGTACATTGGATAATTGCTTTTACATTCTTGTGATACTTTACTAAAAAGAATGTGTTTCAACTCTGTCCAGAATATTACAAAAGATGTGAAGTCACCATTATTTTTTATGGCTGAATAGTATTCCATGATATGCATGTACCACAAGTTTTTAATCCATTCCTGAGTTGATGGGCATTTAGGTTGTTTCCACATCTTGGCAATTATAAATTGAGCTGCTATAAATAATCCAGTGCAAATATCCTTATGATAAAATCATTTTTTTTCTTCTGGGTAGACGCCTAGTAATGGGATTGTGGGGTCAAATGGGATATCTATCCTGATGTCTTTGAGGATTCTCCACACTTCTTTCCAAAGATGCAACCAATGAAAACTATTTCAATAATTTTTAAATGTAAAGAGTATTCATGCTATTTACAAAATTAAAAATGAGAGAAAACATGCATTTAACTATGGTTCCTTTCAGTCTCCTTTTTGTCTTATGCATAGATTTTAAATGTAATTAGAGTATTAATTATACTGTATAAGAAGTTCTATAGTTCACTTAACATATCCTTTTACAAACAATCATTTTTTAGTCAGAACAAAGTTCATTCAGTGAATAAACTATTTTTGTTGATCCTATAGTTGTACATTTAACTTGTTTCCAAAGCTCAGAATTATATACAGTATGATAATTTGATTCATAATTTTCATCTATGAAGTTCAGTCATTGGATGAATTGATATGGTTTATGCTCCTGTTAAACATTTAACTTTTTTTTTCAAAGTTTTAAGACTATAAACAACATGTCGATTCACGGTTTTATTCATATACAAGATTATTTTTTTCCATATACAAGATTATTTCATTATGCTTTTATAAGTAATTAAATTAGGCATTACTAATTACTGTGTGAAGAAATATGAAAATGTTACAGGTTCTTGGCACTTAGTAGAGAGTAGAGTGTCATGGCATCATACCTTACAGCAACCTCAAACTCTTGAGCTCAAGCTTTTCTCTTGCCTCAGCTTCCCAAGTGGCTATGAATATAGCTGTCCACCACAATTCCTGGCTATTTTTAGAGATGAAATCTCACTCTGTCTCATGCTGGTCTTGAACCTGTGAGCTCAGGCAATCCACCAACATGGCGTCCCAGAGTGCTAGGATTATAGGCACATTTTTTCATTCTGTTTTATACCACCACTTATAATATGTGGGAGGTATATAGGTTGACTTCTCAGTGGAGTACCCTGCCTCAATTCTGGGGTAACCAGGGAAAATGCCTGCAAGCCAGCAATTCCTGGGGGCTCATTAGAATCACAAAAAAGGGAAAGAATCCAGAGGCACCCACCTCTCTGGTCAGGACAGACTAGGTCCAAGCATTTGAGAGTCAACAGATGAGTGGGATTAAACTCTAGTTTACATCCCCTGCCTGAACAGAAATGGCTTCTCTCTCACCTTCTATTTACATATATTCACCATTGTTTCCCAGCCCCCTGCTCCTTACTGTAGCTTTCTCTCTATCCAGTCTTCCTGGGAACTTCACATATGCACTTTTGTTAAAAATGAATAAAAACCTGAAGAAGCCTGAAAGATGCTGCATCATCTTGGTCTACCAAGTCTGAGTTAGTATAAGCCAACTCTAGGTATCCTAGAATTTGTTTTTCCTTAAAACTGGTGTTTAATTGTTTCTAGTGCTGTTTTCCAGCTGGCATTCAAATCAGGTCGGGGTTTGTGCACATTAACTCCCTACAATAATATATTAGAGCATTTGATTCCATGTACCCTTCTTAGCAATGAGTATTATAATTTTGTTTCTTTTTGCTGATTACATAGATGAAAACTACATCTCATTTTATCACATTTCTTTATTATCAGTGCACTTTTCCAATGTGCATTAATTAGCAGTGCTCCTGGGCAGTGCCTGTGGCTCAGTGGGTGGGCCATGGGTCCCATATACTGAGGGTGGCAGGTTCAAACCCAGCCCCAGCCAAACTGCAACAACAACAACAACAAAAATAGCTGGGCATTGTGACAGGCGCCTGTAGTCCCAACTACTCGGGAAGCTGAGGCAGAAAAAAAAAAAAATGAGCTGTGCTTCTTATTTGATATGCTTTCTGTTCAACCAGTACTGTTAAAGAGGAAAAACTCTGGAAATCAACCTGAAGGGTAATGATATAACCATTCTGATATTAAATTCATCACTCTTCATCTTGGAAAAAGCTATTAAATGCCCAGTGTGTCGGCTCTCTCTTGTATAGTCCTTCATAAC